GTGCTGCCTGTCCCTGACTCTACCATAAACAGAAACCAGACAGTAAATGGGCTAGCTGACGACCCGGGGCCTCCCGTCGCCCTGATAGCTAGTACCAGTAATTGACACGCCTGCACTGTCCCAGGAGAGGAATCTTCGCCCATCACATACCAGAGGTGCCCATTGTCTGCATTTTCCCAGGTGTAAATTATGCTTTGCACCCTTCGTGGGAAACTTGGCATTCAAAGCCATTTTTCCTAATTGGCCACTTGAGCCCAGGAAGAAGCCTACATGACCCAAGGGGTATAAAAAGAGGTTCAGCCGCCCACCCCATTTGAGCTCCAATCATCTATACCTGCTGGCAGGTATTGATTGTCTCCCGAGGTCTGTGGGACGCCCAACCTCGCCCTACTTCTTCCCGAGGGATTGAGAGAAAGACGCTGGCCACGCCAAGTCTGGAACGCAGGGGTGAGAATATATACCTGCTATGTGTCTATTTTGCATGCATTTAATAAGAGCTCAGAGAACCAAAGGGTTTCATGGTACCTGTAAGTGACTTATTAGTGTAATTTCTGTCCTGTCCTTTGTAGTGTCTGTGTTATCTGTAACACAGTAGTAGCATTTAACAACTAAGTTTACCCTGTAACAATAAATAGTAACTGTTTAAGCTTTAACCTGACTCCTTCAGTTGCTGTAACAGAACCAAGCACAATTTAAAAGAACTTCAGCCGGTCATAAGGAACTCACTGCCCTGACCGTCGGCTGACAGGGTGACATGGGGCTAACAGTTAGAGCTCTAGCCTCCTGGACCAGACTGCCCACGTCCCACCACTGTTAGCCGTGAGTGGCTGGTGGTTTGGTTAATATGGAGATACAGATAATGGAGGCTTGAATGAGTGTTCTACTGAACTTGAATTGCTTGTTTAGGACCAAAATAATCTTTCTACAGTCTGTGTTGTGCTAGAAGGAGTGAGGAGAGGAGCACCAGTGAGCAGTGATGAAAGGGGACACAGGGATAAATTGCCTAACTAGGTTGTGGAATCTTGATCATTAGTGATAATTAAGAGCAGGTTAGACAGATGTCAATCAGGGATGGTCTAGATGGTGCTTGGTCCTGCCATGAGGGTAGGGGACTGGACTTGATGACCTCTCAAGGTCCCTTCCAGTTCTAGTATTCTATGATTCTATGAAACCCTGAAGCATCTGCCATGTCTCTTTTTTACAGGTAGTCTCTCTTCACCTATCCATGCACTTATTTGTTTATCATCAGTGAAACAAGAACACTTTGTATCTTCTTTGATGATTATAATAGCAACTTGGTATCTTTTATTTACATCGCTGCATTATATTCTGATAACCCCTCATCCCGGGTGCTACCACTTTTTTTGTGATGTACCTGTAATTTTTCATTGGTCTAACAGAAGAGTAGGTTCCAAGTTTTCTGCCCAGTACTAAAGAAGGGAAAGAAATACAAGAAACGAATATATGGTGCTATCCTCATCTTACCTCTTAACCGATAATAAGCTTGATGGCTGGCTAAAATTTGCTTCACTGATTCTTGTGGACAGACTTTCACACCCGTTGAGAAAATAGATGACCTCTTTGTTCGATGCTTTGCCATATCAAACATCCTTCTGATGGTCGACACTCTGGACCTCTTTGTTGTTTTCTCTGTTTTCTCTGACCCTGAGGGATCACTAAGATGTTTGGTTTCATCGTGGTTTATTTTATTAGGGATTTCTGTAAGGGGTAAAATAATGGAAACATAAATACATGAACACACTGTATGTGGGAAGTCCATATGTACTATAAGATAACATGTTGAAAATAAACACCAAACACTAGGGTTCTCAAATATTTACGTTACAGAGAAAATGTCAATGTACAGGCTGATGGATATGGTCTTGTGATCAGACCATATAATTGGGAGGCAGGATATCTGATTTCTAATCTCCTCTCTGATTAGCTCACTGCATGACCTTGAAAACACATAGGAACTTTTGAGAATTTTATCCTAAGGCCCAGAGCCTAAAAGGTATTTAGAGGACTAACTCAATGGAAGTTAGTTGCCCGAGTTGCCTTGAGGATGTGGGTCTGCGTGACTTTAGCCTAAGTCCCATTTCTAAAAGTGACATAGGAACTTAGGGCCATATTTTTAAATGTACTTAAGTGACTAAAGATTCATATTGGTGGCTAGTGTGCATTTCAAAAGTGCCTAAATTGATTTACAAGCCTAATTCACATTACTTTAAGTTCCTAGTTATATTGAAAATGATAGTAGGCCACTTTAGGCACCTAAATACCTGTAAAAATCTACCTTTAGAAATCTAAGTTTCATTGAAAGTTACTTCAGGTACGTTTCAAAATCTGACCCCTAAATCTCTTGTATGCCTTCATTTCCTCATGAAAAAATGAGGATAGATATTGCTTGCTGTACTTACCTCATGGGGATGTTTTAAAGGTTTCATAATCATTTAGAATCCTGGAAGGCACTACAGAGGTGTTAAGAGCCTTTGTAGTGGGGTGTAGTTGTTAGCATAAAATTGTATCATTAGTAAGTAAGTGTTGTTTTATGCAGAACATTTGTAAGGAATGGCAATGCTTCCAAAGTGACAATGTTCAATTTATCCACAGATTAGCAGATATCCCTATATTCTGAATGGCTAGGAGTTTTTCAGGACACGTTTGTCCAAATTCTGCATAATACCCAACATGCTATCACGTTACATGAGAGTTCAAGTTTGATATTAAAAAGCTGTAATCAAATTAAAATAACTTGTAAGCTATATATTTCAGCAAGCTTAAAAAGTAGCCTTTTGATGAAGATAATAAAAGAGCTCTTGGGTGAAGCAATCTATGTATTTTAGATTCTCTTCTTTAATGCTGCATAAATTATAATGTACATGTTAAAATGCACTTTTAAGACTACTTTTGATGCATTTACATAGGCTTGATGCAGCCTTTACTCATAAATACTCAAAAATGTAAATATAATAAATTGTTAGTAGGTGGAAGAACTGCTGTGAAAAGGAAGGGGGTGAATTCTGTAGATAATTGGAAAACGTTTGAAGCATAAAATCAGAGGGTAACATAATGTGCATGAAGCCTGGATGCTGATGAATTGGCTGCAAACAACAATTGCGTTTTGAAAAAGTTCAAACTTTCTAAGGAGAGGGGAAAGGTGATAAACCAATAGAACACACTTACATGGAAATAAGATTATTAGAACACCAAGTGTAAAACAAATCAAGTCAATTTTCATGTGAATTTGAAAAAAATCCTGACAATATTGTACAATATTATTCAGGAGTGCTGAAACAATGTTTCTAGCAGGGGGCTGATGATGGATATCTGATATTTGGTGTTAATACTACTTCAGGCCACAAGATATGACAGCACCCTAGTTCTAGCACCACTGAAATTGTCACCTGTTTTTAGACGAATAAGGGGAAAATAAGAAAGAAATATCCATTTGCTAATTTTTGGAACTCAGTGAATTATAATTTTGCAGGAAAATGGGGGAGGAAATAGCAGGAGTTCGCAATTTGCATATCTTTTTCCAACCCCTCCCCCCCCCGCCCAGTCTAGACGTAGCCTTTGTCTCCTTCTGTTGGATAAAAAAATTCACTTATACATAACACGTTCTTTGCCAGCTGGTGATGTGGTTATCAGCTGCGTAGTCTACACTCTCACTATTTTCTCCCCCCTTCTATATTTGAATAGACTTGACCCATCCCTATTTTATACAGTGTATATATTAATTAAATACTTTGAATACTTTTAAAGAAACCATATTTCAGGGTATCCCATGAATATGGAGATTTATTTTAAAGTAAAATAAAATACTTTTTCACTTTTGTGTGTATACATAAAACACTTGCTCTAAACAACTCTCTTGCCCTTTTGTTTAGTAATGTTAATTGTCAAAGACCAAGTACCAGTTTTTAACATCAGGAAATGTATAGAAGATTATTTCTATTTTTTCATGGTAAGTCTAGTCCAAGAAAAGAGACATCTGCCACAGTTGGGTAACCTTTCAATAATAAATTGTAAGTGTTTCATATTCTCCAAATGTGTAACTAATCCTCACAAACTTCCCTCTGAAGGAGGTAGATATAATTACCCCCATTTTCCAGATGGAATAACTGAGGAAGACCAGTTAACTGGTTTTAACAGGGCCAAGGTGGGAGTTAGTGTTAGTGCAGATAAAACTAGGAATGCCTGGTCCTCTTGATATTCAACATTTAAAACATAGGTTCTGAATCTATAGTAGTCCTGAACAAGAAAACCAGAATCTTTTGTTTCAAAAATGTTGACACAAAACCTTTTGGTAATTTTGATTTTTTTTTTCCAAAAAATTTTTGGGGTGAGAAATTTGTCAAATAGCCTTTTCTATGAAAAGTTTGATTAATCTAATCAATATTTTGTGTCAAAATAATATTTCTTCAAAATTTCCCAACCAACTTTATGAATCTGCATGACAGTAACAGGAAAATTCATGGCTATTTAACAGTGCTCTTAGAAAAAAAGAAATTTAGAAACTTCATGGAGCAAATCTGTGGGATATTTCAGAAGCAGGGAGATTGCATCTATGTTGCTTTCCCATTATTGTAGTGGATATCCTTTTATAAATATTTCCTTATTTCTGACTGACAATATTAGCTGTTATCCTCGTTGTCATTTTCTTTCTTGTAGGCCTGCAAAATATACTCTCGTGACTGCATTATGCTAATGGGTAGATTCAGAATAGTTTGACTAGATGTCAGAAAGTTGATTATATGCAAAGAATTATAAAATTGCAAATGCTTGAAAAGAAAAGTAAAGGGTGACATCAGGACAAAAATGGTTATATTTTAATACTTCCGGAAGAAAAGAATTGCCTGAAATCAACCCAATGTTTGAAATCAATAAAAAAAAAAGCAAATTGGTGTCTTTAAAAAAAGAGCATGTTCACTAAGTGTAGAAAAAAAAGCTTGATTGATAAACAAGGCATACTGTCTTCAAAGTAAACTCATTACTAATTAAAGCCCAAGACTCATTCAAGGAAGAAAACAATAACTGGTAACAAAGAAACTGACCAAAAAATTACCAAATGGGTTATTTCAAGTGCTTCCCATAAAAGTGTTTGTCACCCAGGAATTCAGTGTACAGCAAGTAACAGTACAGTATTTGATATTTGAATCTGAGCAGTAGGTAGGGATAACAACATACATTAAAAATAGATCAGCAGTTCTCTAGAAATGATTGATTAGTATGAATGGAAAGCTAACATATGAGCAGGTGCAACTGGTACAGCTAAAGGAAAAGTGCTGGATTTCTTACTCAGAGCCACACACCCCATTCTCTAGTGGGATCATTCACGAGGCCAATCTGGTGGTACTTGCCAGTGGTGGGCAGGGCCTGTGCAGCATGCTCATTCAGTCTGTCCTGATACAATGGGAGCCCCTACACTCCATTTCCAAAGGAATGAGATTGATGAAGGGGGCAGGCAGCAGGGATGAACATGACCAGGTCTCTATCCATGCAACAGTTGCTGGCCCCCCTCATCTTCCCAAATGGTGGGGCAGTAAGCATATGGATCCATTCCTTTCTCTGAGGAGTGGCTGCACAGATCCCCCTCCTTTTGGGAAGCTGGAACAACAGTGTAAAACGGTCCATTGCTGAGTGAGTTCTTCAAGAAACTAATCTAAGGCTTCCCATGAGTTCATCTAGCTGAAGCCATTACCCGACATCCTGCACAATATCGTATCAAGCCAGGACATGGGCCAGAAACAGCATTAATGTAACTGAGGAAAGATTTCTTGATGTTATGTGGATAATGGGCCTCCATTCCCATTCTCCTCAATTTCTTTGCAGGATTATATTCTGTTGACCCTGAGCTACAGCAGTCCCACCCAAGAGAATACTCTAAATGATTCAAGTCCTTCCTTGAAGAATGCACCCAAAGGACAATGAATAGACATTGCACCTCTCCCAATAGTCCCCTCATTTAAAGAGTGCCTCTAAGATCAATTTGCCATTCCTGTGGTGCTTGCCCTTCTCCAGATTGCTGTACCCCTTTCAAGGGTCTCATTTGTCTTGTATACCCCAAAATTTCACCTCACTTAAAAACTAACAAAACAAGTTATAATACACAAGTGTCTGTCTCAGATCCTACTACTGAAAAATTGCTTTCTTTTTCATTTTTATAATATAGGTTTAACCTCTCTAGTCTGGCATTCTGTAGTCTGGCAACATTCATGGTCTGGCATGATTTTGGGTAGCTGGATGTTCACTTATCATGGGCATGGCTAATTTTCCTGTGGTCCCATAAAGGTTTGTTTACAGCCACCAGTTCTGTCTCTCATTGTTCCATGCTGTTATTTAGCTCTAATTTACCCCCAAATGTCTTCTAAAAGCCCAGTAAGCATTGAAAGTGTTGGTAATGCTGCTAGACAATATTGACTTCTTGTGGTTTGGCAAATTCTCTGGTTTGGTACCAGTCAGGTCCCAAGATTGTCAGACTAGAGAGGTTCAACTTCTATAATTGTTAAAAAAAAAAAAAAAAGTCAATTGGAATATAAATATTGTACTTACATTTCAGTGTATATTAGTACAACGGTTTCTTAAAGTGGTCAATGAAACCACTTCAAGAAACCTGTTAAATGGCCACTCTGGCGTGTTTACTTACTGGCATCGTGGCCGTGCAGCCTTGTGGCTCCCATTGGCTCAGATTTGCCATTTGGAATCAAGGGGAACCA